AGAAATACTGCACATTTACATTTTTCTCCTAAATAAATTCTGGTAAATAACATTTCTGATAAATACTCCTTTAAAAAGTGTTTTTTTATTATAATTGTATTATTAGTAGACTAGAACACGTGGATATGTTGTCATTCTTACACTATAATACTGAACTCTGATTTCAGTGATTTGGACGATGAGATGGGCACTTGCTTCTTGCACTCTATGTTGCACTTTACTTTTGCTTTAAAAAAAGGATTTCATAGAAATTTGGATTTCATTTGGTTTAAATATAGTTTAATAAAATATTCTTAAGTGAAATTGTTGATTTTTTTGTGGGAAATTAATCGCTAAGATTAATCGATTAATTAGTCGACAGATTAATCGAATATATATATATATATATAAAAAATAGTCATTAGTGGCAGCCCTACACTAGAGACCAGAGAACGGCTCTGACTGAAGTGTTCCTGGAAAATAGCAGGACAGAAGAACATTCCCAAAGTGTTTACTATATCTCAGAGTCCCGTAAAATCTATCATAGCACAGGCGAGAGCATGTGGGTCTGTCTGGATCTGTGTTCTAGCGTTTCTCTAAACACTGATAGTGTGTTAAAGTACAGCATGACAACAGCCGTTCATCCGTGTGTGTCATGTGTAGTGGTGTGTCATGCACTGGATTCACTCTGTGTGTTCATTATTTGATTCAAATTTAAAGTCAAAAGAAATGTCGGAATTATTTCATGAATGGTGGGAACAAAATTGATGATTCTCACTTAAATGATTCTGAAACAGCAGTTTAATGTTTTAGTGTCATTGAGCTTTATTTGACAGTAGGCGAGAGTGCACTTCTGGGCTTCCCTGTAATGCTCCTTTATGGTGATGCTAGCAGTTTTACGGTCTGTTCAACCAGTGGTTTTCAAACTGTGGGTCGCACAAAGTCACTTGGCTGCAGATTTAAAGCATGCGTTGGTTTGGTGCACACGAGTTGTAATAACTGAGGGTTTCAGAGCGATGTCGTTATTAAAAGGCTCGATCGGTCCGCAATATTAATGAGAAGAAACTCGCTCACTGCACTGTGTTCTGCATGAGATTGCATACACCGGAAAATTCAAATGTTACGAAAACTGTTTTAGGTTTGTTCATTCATTTCTATTGTCTGTTTGAACTCGCCGCTGTTTTCGTTATTCATAACATTTCGTATTATTTCCTTGCCATATCATCTCTATACAAAGAAAAATTTGCCATCCAGAGCATCTGTAGAGGAGCTCAGAAATGCTCGTTTGGCAAATGTTCCCATCCAACTTGACAGAAATTCTGCCAAGAAGAATGGGCAAGAATTGAGTGTCAAGATGTGCACTGCTGAACCTGAAGAAATCACAGCTGCAGGAACATAATAAAATGGGGAAAAATGTGTAAAATAGGAACTAAATGCTAGCTCTTTCTCTGTTGTTATTGCAGTCATGTCTTTTGTAAAAATGTTTTCTTATCTCTGTGAGTTCATCAGTCCTGCCGCTTTGGCTTTGTCTTGGCGCTCTTAAATGTGGTGTTTTGGGTTGTTTTGATCTGGTTGTGACTGTGTTTAGCGGCTGGAAACACTTTCCACATTTAAACAGCTATGAATTACAGTTCTGTTGAGACTGTTTTCATTCAGAAATTGCTTGCAAATTTCACAAAAAAATTAGAAATGGCAAGTAACACACTGAATTAACATGAAATAGTATTTTCTTGTAAGGCATACTCTAGTAATTTTTGTTTAATTTACAATTTCATTTTTTTTTTGCATTGTATAGATTGTAAATATTGAGGTGGTTCCTCTATAATTTCACGCTAGCTGTCAGATGCTTTGCGTGTATCTTTTTTTTTTGCAATAAATAATGCTTGCTTTGATATTTTGTAATCTGCATAATTGGCTCTCTGCGCTTCGTTAATGGCCTGAACATTACAGTTAATTACAGGCCTGTAATTTAACGAAGGGGGAATTCAGGAAGTCAAGTGCTTTAGCTTCTAGTATATAAACGTTTTAATTCAATAAGCCTGTGCATAAAAAAATCCAGATTATACCCCCAACTCATGTGTCCTGCTTCATCTGCCTAATGGAAGATTAGCTCTGATTAGCCATTAATTAGCTTAAGTGTCTCCCGCCGACACACACACAAAGCTTCTTGTCAGATTAGCTTCAGGTTGGATCAGTTTTTAAATGTCAGATTGTTATGGGATCATTTATTATTTGCTCTTTGTCTATTCAGATGTTATAATCATGTGCTTTGATTTCTGCCACACTAATGTGAGTCTGACCTTAATCTCAACTCTACACACCAAAATAAAAAGTTGATCCCAGAATCACAGTCCAAACTGAAGCTTGCTGCTGGGTTTAACCAGACCAGACCAAGATAAGTCAAGCTCAAATATGTTATTAAATCATTGTAATTTACTGTTTGTGTTTTTGATGTGAGTTTTTGACTGTTGAAATCTGTTGTGTTCTTATAATGGGATACACGTTTACAAAGTTCATTTAGGGCACGTCAGATAATCTAGATTAACCTTTAGACCAGGCGTCTTCAACAGGGAGATTTAAAGGAAAAGTTCAGACTTTGTTTCGTCATCAGGTTTGGAGAAATTTAGTGTTTGTAATAGGGATGGGCATTCCAAGCAAAAATAATATATTCGAAAATCACTGGGTATTATTCGAATAATATTCGAGATTCGCAATCACACATATGGAGCAGCACTCGGCAGTACTTACCACACATTTGATCAGGTGTTCGTCAGTGGTGCTCAGGATCATTCGCCATCATCCTATCAGTCATCTCTCCTTACTCTGTTTATGTGGTAAGTGAAATGCTATGTACTGTAATGTAACAGGCTACCGCTAGCAAGCGGCTAACCGTGTCCCTTTAGTGGCTCCGTAGAACGCGTTTGTTTTCCGCGCCTTTCTGAATACGGATTCAGCCACACTTCTAACCCAGTTGGGGGGGTTTGTGGTCCGCACAAAACTCATATTTGACATCGTCCCAAGTTACTGTAGCCGTTATATGCTACGCAAGTCTACGCAATACCGGTTCATACCGAATACCGTTGTTTATTTTTGTTATGATATGAATTTTTTAAATACCGCAATACCGGTGTATGTCGCTTAAACAACGTTCGGAACGCGACACTGTTTGAAAGGGGTCCCTTTTCACTGTTGCACTG